AAAAAATCGATGCAGTTGGGGATGCATGCAACCCAAAATCCAAAAAATCGATGCAGTTGGGGAGATCTGGCAATCCGAAATCCAAAAGTCGATGCAGTGAGGGACTCGTGAACTGGCAGAACCAGAAAAGTCGATGCACCGCCGGCCGTCGAGTGCATTGAAATTTGGTGGTCACCAGTTTGTCGTATGAACCATTCTAATGCATTGATTTTCATCTCACCCTGTCAAAACAAAATCAATGCACCGGAGGGGGGGGGAGTGCGTTGAAAACCATGGATTTGGTAGGGCCACAATCTATTTTCATTTTCACTTCCAAAATCAAAATAGATCAGTACCATCCAAAACCATACCTTTTCAATGCACCGGAGGGGGTCCACTGCGTTGATTTCTATGTTGGGGGTCAGATTCAAAATCAATGCAGTTGAATGGTTTACCCGATGATCCAGTGGATTTTCAGGCTCAATCGCCACTTGCAGCGCAGCACTGTTTTTGGCTGCTCTTTCTGGTGCTGTCATGGCATCAGAAGGGCTGAATCCAGTTTTGAAGCAAGCAAAGTCTTTGTGCTATGACACCCCAGAGAAGACCCTAGCAGTGAAAAAACGAGGAGGAACCGGTTGAGACCAAGGGTCCCGGGCCATCACCCCCCAAGAAGCACTGCAACGTCCTTGAGAAGTTTGTGAAGAAGCTTCCTGGCGACACTTCCGTGGTGAGAGATGCTTGGGTTGCACGGGATACCACCAATCACATGTTATATCTTTTTGGGGTATGGGTGGATGATCTCTTTCAATTGATTCTTCATTTTCTGCCATTCAAGTTTATTATATAAATATGACGTGGACTTTGGGTTTGTCAACTGGTTCTGCATGATACTGGTACCATCCTGAATACTTAGGAACTTCTGGACTTTGTGGGTGAATTCCGAGACGATACCAGTGGAGCCAAGTCTACTGCCCACCCAGCTGACGTTGTTCCGTACTTTTTGGCTTCTGAGAACCAGGAGGGCAACAAACTCCGGATGCAGCAGTTGGAGTTGTGGTACATGGGGTATCAGCAAAAGCGTGGATCCACAGTGGTCTACAAATCAATGTCCGACTTTGTCTGGATCTTAATTCTACCAGTCACTACATCGAGCTTACCATGTTGCCACAAAATAGACTTAGGCATTTGACAGCAGCATGGCCAACGACACTCTCAAACTGCCCGTGACCTTTTTGAAGTCCCTTGACCAGTTATCAGAGTTAAACAGTTTTGTTTTGGGCGATTGCTATCACATAAGCCTGACGCAATAAGCCACTCAGCTTCCCAGGCCTTGCTCCGCCCAGCCTTGCTCCCAGGTTCACACCACCTCCGGACGGAATGCCGTGTGTGCGGGATTGGCTGGTTACGTTTGACAGCATGTTGACAACCGGGGTGGACTTGGGACGAGAGCCACTGTCAACGAATGCGGGGGGCCTCACACGACCATTGATCGCAATTGATCTTATAAAACATTATCTTTGGACTGACATCATTACAACAGTCACATTCAAATCAATCTGGGGATCTGAGGTGACATTGGGACCTGGCAGCGCAGACCCTACTAGCTTTAGTACTGTCATCAATGAAGTGTTGAACATATTTTGTTGGACCCAGAAGGATTTATCCCTCATATGCCCAGGTGCTCCAACCACCCTGAACCATTGCTCAGTTGACTTGATCAAGGGCTACACCAAAGCGTCGGTGGTGGCATTCATCCTGATGGTTGCTGCAGAAAACGACGTGGAAGCCGACTGGGAGAAGTTGGTTCCCTTAATGGAGATCTTGGACAAAGCCTGGTTACTCCCATGCCATGCACCTGGCTTCAAACCTTAGAACCTGTTTTTTGGTAATCCATTATCCTAATATTATAGTTATTCATATGCAAGTTTACCTACTATGGCAATCACGATATGCCAACTATGTTCAACTAAAAAACCATACCATCATGGTTTGCCCTCCAACCACAATCCAATCCCAACTCAGACAATGGTGAACCAGTCCACCACAGCGCGCAGCTACCTGAACTTGCAGTTGTCCTACCGCGGATCAGAGCGGCAGCCTCCGTCGGCGCTGAGCGTGGCGCTATTCTTTTCGGGCATCATGCAGGCCAAAAGCGAGGATGGAACCCATGACAAATCCATGTCAACAGAATCCAGACTCAAAGCTGTGATTGCCGAATATCATGACCAACCAGGTGTTCTGGCGCGCTACCGCATTGACCCAGACAAGGAACGTGCAATTCTCAACCTTGTGGTTGGTACCAGTGCAGGTACCAGAACTTTGATCCAAGCCCATTTGAACCACCACCGCTGGCGAGAGAGCTGCTTCACAGCAGATTTACTCAAATCCTCAAGGTGGTTGATTGGGGCAAGTCCTCGCAATTGCAAAGAGTACATGAAGTCAATGTTGACAGTGACTCAAAGGATTCAGGAGAAGTTCATGCAAAACGTCATTGCATGGTTTTCTGGGCAAGTGCAAAAGATCCGGGCATCTACCAGGGCCAAATTCCGCCCATCTCAAACTGAGTGGGACCGCATGGTTGACTACACATGTGTCATGGAACGAGTGAAGGTCGAAGCACAGGCAACCCTCACCCATGACCCTGAGAAGTGCAAGTCCGTGTTGAAGAGCATCAAAACTTGCTTCGCAAACAGGCCCAGTTGTGTCCAAAGCGCTTGTTTCACAAACACCTGTTCCAAAACCACACCTGGTCACTGACATTCACCAACCCATCCTGCCTTAAAGTGATGGTTCTCACCAGCCGCCTGGCCAGGGACTACTATGAAGAAGTGCAAACTTGCGTGGAGGTGGCCCTGGTGAACTGGAATGTCAAACACCTTTCGATTTGGTCCGAATTGGTGCAACCAGCAGCCCTTGCTTTGGACGAGGCTCACACTGATGTTGTGGAAATGGAAGAATGCACACTGGACGCACAGTTCCAGGAAGTCCGAAGCAAAATCTCGCACCTCAACTTCATCAGACTTATTGTTGATTTCTGGGTTTCTCATCATCACTACTTGTTTTTGAAATGGTGATATCCTAGTCTGTCCCTGCTTCTGAATCGTTAGGATGGATGAATTGGCCTGGGTCCAGTACAAGCAGAAGCAGCAGAAGAAAGCCGCTCGTGAACACATCTTGTCCGTTTCTCACACCAAGTCCCAGCTGGCCATTGGGAAGGGGATACTTAGCAAGGTAGTTTGTAGCACTTTTATAACTTTTGCATGTTTGGTCTGGACTGTTTGGTTTTCACTACCTGCTATGTACCATATGGTTGGGACGCTTACACTCTACTCCCCTGCAAAGGCTTGTCGAAAAGTTTATGATGAAGTCCTGCAACATGAATGCCTTGGCAGATGTCTCTCAGCTTCCCAACCTGGACGCCTGGTTCCGTCAATCAGCAGCAGATCTCAAGGTTGGTCAAACCAGGGTTTACTATTATATGGGGTTGACTGACAAAAAGTGAAAATATGTGTTGACTGTATGCATATTATGTAAATATTATAATATTTTATATTAATTCCAGATTGTTCTGGCATCCCTGGAAGGTCAAAGCTGAGCAGCTTCCGGTGTTGGTGATCATTGACTTTACGAAGCTGGGCACATTGACTACTGTGAACCTCAACAAGCATTGCGCCCTCCTGGCAAAAGTCCTTGGTCGCAACCAAACCTGCTTCTCGGTTTTTTGAGCCGGACTGTTTCTTCATTGTTTTGCTTTTAATGAAGCGCTTGGCAACTAGTTTTGACATGATGATAGGGTCTTTATGATCCTGTTTTGAAAAGAATCCTATCGAAACAGTATCATAACAATGACTTTAAAGCCAGGCTCTGCTGGACTGATCTTGGCTCCGCTTCTGTTTGGCACTGCTGGGGGTGGTTCCCTTCGCCGAGATTGGAGGCTTGGTGTGTGGGAAAAACAGTGGTAAAATGATGTGTCACTGGACGCTATGTTTTCCATGTTTGAAACAGGGAGACCCATATAACTATGTTTGAATCTGACTCTAAGTTGTATGAATCACTTAGCAATGTCCGCTCCAGCATCCAATCTCTTGTGGAGGCTTGTGGAAGACAAGATGGGTCAGCTGGGTTTAGCTCTCCGAGACTTACGCATCCCGATTGATTGTTCTGAACTTCATGGCAATTCTGAGCGTCCGCTGTTCTTTCATGGATGGCTCGCGATCCCTGATTCGACTCTGCCGGCCAAGGGTGTTGGCTACAGGAGAAACACCAATGAGGAGTCCAGGGATTTGTCAGCTGTGGCTGTGAACATCTTCAGTCAGTCCGACCTATGGAAGTTGCAAGGTCTTCCACTCGAAAATGTTCCACGCGCTGTGTGTGAGGGGGATTTCTGTGTTCCCTCCCCGAAAAGCTTCTTGATCAGCGCAGATTCTCGACGCAATCTCACGGACACCCAAGAGACTGCTCAGTGGATAGCAGGGGAGGATGTCTTTAGCAAATTGATCAAGAGCGCATTTGGTGGCCTGGCTTTGATGACAACTTTATTATACTTTCTTTTGTTAGTCTCCCCGCTTCCCCTGCAGGGTTTGGGTGCAAAGACTTCCCGCCTGGTTCCAACACTCCTTTGGGGATTTCAAGATTATGTGCCACTTAGGCCGCCACTTGCAAAAGGGTGCCGTGGTGCATTCCACTTGCTACTGCGGATCCGTTGAGAAAGCTTGCATGGCTTTGGGGGGTGCCTATCACATCTGTCTCTGATGTGGCGGTCAACTTCACCTATGCCTCATCGCGTTTAGCAAATGGTCTTCTCGAGGAAACTTGTGATGAGAAAGATACTGATACTGAAATGTTTGTGATATTAATGATGATACAACATGTTCCTTGAGATCCATAGATATCCAGAGATATTATACAACCAATTTGCAAATCCCAGATTTTCCCTCCTTACATATGACCACTTCACTTGCAGGACTGGAAGGGTGGAGTTGGCAAAGTGGGCCAGCTGCTCCCAAAATTCAAACGTGACTATGTGGATGACGCCCCGATGGAACTCAGCTTGCCAGACTTTCACGTTTGCAAAGAACAAGATGGGCAACTTACGATTCCTGCTGAAACACGTGCCCGCTACATCCAGGACCCTGTGAGAGGACCCGAGTGGAGAACACTGCTTTCCCGCTTCGACCAGGCCTGGTGCAGTGATGTCAAAGCGCAGCCGCGAGCAGCTCCACCTGCCACTACAGTGACAGCAATGGCAACCCGAACCGAGACCGACAATACCGGTGATGGTGAAGCTGATGGTGAAGAGACCGGTGGTGGCACAACTGTGCCAAACACCTCTTCTTTGGACAGTGCATTTCCGGATGAGCCTACCACCCAACAAGCTCTGCAGGATAAGTACCCAGGAGCACACAAGGTCTCTATCGACTCCAACTTGCATCTTGTGGTGTGTGAGGGGCCAAAGCTATTCTATGTAGCCACAGGGGATGCCGAAGTGGACATTCATGAGCCCGCCCTTTGCTATGGCGCTGGAACATGGGTGCTGGACCAAAAGGCGAACCAATTTCTCCAGGATCGGGTTGTACATCTCTGGTTGACAATTGGTCAATAGTAATTTTATAGTCTCTGTCTGGCAAATTTCAATCTCTTATGGCGCTACCTCAATTCCCCTTGTCAGGACCATCCTGGCAAAGGCTATGTCTTCAACCTTGAGAGTGATGAAGTCGAGGTTGTCTTTGAGGACCATCTAGATCCACAAAATGTCTACGTGTTTGATAATGTTTGATACTCACGTTTTAGAAATGACTTATGTTGTGGCATCCCTTGATTCCTATAACTAGAATGAGAGAGGGACATCTGATCAAATAGTGCCATCAGGATTCGAGTGGCAATGATGAACCACTACAAACGGTGCGGAGTGTTTTGATATCCTTGGAGCAGCGATCCATTGTGGACTTCGAGCTGGCTGGCCACACTTGTTGTCGACCAACCGCTGTCACCGAGGGACACGAGGATGGGGACAGGCTTGGGGTGCAAAAAAATCAACAACCATAAATCTACGAATTACTTTTTATGTGGAAGATTGAATCATATTGTATGACAGTTCATGCAATTTCATTCATGCATAGATGTTCAAAAAAGGCATACCTTTTACACGGAACTGGTCAAATCAAGCCAATTCCCCAGGTTCGACGTTGAATTGAAGGAAGGCACCTGTATGCTTTGGAAGCCTGGATCAGTGCAACTCAAAAAACGTAAAGCCCAAGAATGTGGGATCCTACTTCACCGCGTCCCAGATCTTTGACTCACCAGCTGTGAAACAGGCATGGTGTGACTCATAGAAACATAAATAAGTATATTTTATAGAATGCAACCTGTTGAAAACGGTATATGCATTCATTCCCTGTGGGCGGGTCGCTGCAGGTTTGGAGGGTGAGGTACTATGAGAATGAGAAAATTCTTGGAGCTGCCAAACCGCTGCTGTTTTTTGCGAGACAAATTGACCCTCAATGCAGGGCAGTGCAAACGCAT